TGGTGGTGGTGGTGGTGAGGGGGGCAGCTGCTACACCCGTGTCACGATGGAGGACGAGAACAGAGGTGGCGAGGAGGAGGCGGAGGAGCGCGGGGCCCAGCATGGCCGGGAAGGACAGGCCGGGAGTGGCTGCCCGGTCGCCTAGTTAATTACAAAGTATAGGTAGGTAGGGAAGGCAGCTGGGTAGGTAGGTATGCAAGGCCGGCTGGTCCCGGGAGATGGAGATTGCGTTTAGATTGGATAGCAATCTATCTGATATCGTGGAGCTCCCGGGGCTCCGGTCGAGCAGTAGTTATAGCCACTCTTATTATAACCAGGGCTGGCTGGCGTCTTGGTCTTCTCCAGACTCTTCCTGGCCGCTGGCTCAGGTTGACATGCTGGCGTCGCATCCAGAGAGTGTCTCTGATGCTCGAGAGAATGCCATGCAGGCTCAGCAGCTGTCGACACTGCTACGCCAGAGGGCGAGGGAGGGAACCGTGATGCCGAGCTGGTGACCGCGCGTTGCCTTGCCTTGCCAGCCCGCCAGCCAGCCAGCCCGTCCAAGGAACCCATTCTGCCTCGCTCGGTCAGCGTTGACAGAGGGTAAAAAAGCCAACATCACGCCCTCCATCATCATCCATGAGAAGGACCAGGGGAAGGGAACCAAACAGCCTAGATCAGCGGCGGTGCGTTGGCGTGGGACGCGGGCCGGGGATTTCTGTTTTCGGTTCTTCTTCTTTTTCGATATTTCAGCTGGCACTGCAACCCTCCCCCTCGGGCGGCGCGTCCGTGACACAGGCCGGCAGACCGACGAGTGGGCGATCAGATGCCGGATGGGGCTGGGGTAGGGGTGCGGGCGTGCGGGCAGCAACAGCGGCTCGGCCGGTAGTGTAGAAGAAAGCTGACCTCAGACAGGTGAGGGCTTTTTTCCTGTCCTTTTTTCTGCTCTCCTTTTTTTCTTCTCCTTGGCCGCGAGCATGTGAAGGTCGGCTGTCGGACTTTGCATCCATGATGATTTAACAGAGCTCGAAAAAAAATCGACCCCTAGTCCACCATTAATTATCCTCTGAGTCTGCGGCGAGAAATGGTCGTAGTCATGGTCGTAGTGTGTGAGTGCGTGCGTGCCGTCTCCTCGCCAGACCGTTGCATCTGGCCCCGTCGTATCGGGCCGGAGTCGGGCGCTAGGATGGACTCCTGACAGGAATGCCCCTCCCCCCTTTCTTTCCTCTCCCCCGCAATCAAGGTTCTGGGTAGGAAGGAACCGTAGGAGTGGGAGGAGGTCCGAGACCGAGCCCCGACGGGCCCATTAGGGAGGCAGGTGACAAAAAGCCCCTCTGTCTCTCCCGTGTGCCTCGCCGTCCGTCGCAGGACAGTAAGCAGGGCCGAGCGAGGGGGCGAGCTTGGGAGCGGGCAGTCCGTCGCCGTGTGACCAGAGTTGTTCTGCCGGCGCAACAGCATCTTCACGTAAGTCAGCAAGCAAGCAGGTGGGTGCTCCTCCCGGGCCTTTTTCTTCTACACCAAATCAGGACAGAGACAGAGACAGAGGGGGTTGCTTTCCCCCAGACTGGACAGAACATGCTGACGTACCCTCGGCACTTGTACTATGTAGGTAGCTTAGCTAGGGCTGAGACTGCGGGGAAAGCAGGGCAGGATGACCCAACTGACCGGAAAGAGGGCGTCGACGCAACGCTGGGGCGAGTCACGCCCTCTCCCAGGACGACTGGCTGCTGCGTGATGCAGCTTGGTGGTCAAAAGGCGGCCAAAGTCTGAGTAAGAGTGCGAGTCGCACTTTCTCGTATTCTGAGACTATTGGTCAGGGCTGTGAATCGTGTCTGGGGTTGGTGTCTGTGTTTTGTTGAGTCTCGGTAGTTGTCTAGTTGTCGCTGGGCTGGCGTCACGTGTATTTCGGCCGTTCGTTGAATAAGTCTAGGTATTTAGCCAGGTCAGGGGCGGCATCTCGATCACCCTAGTCGCTAGTGGACCTTGGTAGTCTTGGATGACGCCTATTCCCGTGTCCGGTATGGTGGTGGCAATCTGTTGAGCCTTCGACCTCAGGGAGCCAATGCGGTGGTTGGTGAAGAGTATGGCATGCAGACCCTTTCGAAAAATAGCCAAGCCCGGGCGCAACCTTCTCTCACTTGTGGACTCCAGAGCCGAAAGTCCAGACATAGCAAGACGAAAGCAAGAGATGTTATTAAGCTCCTCCTAACAGCTCCCAAGCCCGCGTGCCTGTCATAAAGGCGGGGGCAGTGATAACAATGTAGAGGCGACGCGGCTAAATACACCGTGTCGGAGGCCCTCGGGCCACACGAAACCTTAAAAAAATAAAAATAAAATACCCCGAATTATCATACATGGTATACACACAAGATACGTCTAGGCCCCTGCAAGGTCATGGCGGCGATAGCGCTGGCCTGGCAAAGCCATCACGATTCAAAAAATTGCCGTCCATTCTGTTGTGCCCGAGAGCGGCCCACGAGCCGGAAAGGCTCAGTTGACCCGGTAGGCGTCGTAAACAATCTCGGCGCCTCGGCGGCAGCCGCTTCCAACCCAGATGCCTGTGTTGATCTCCGCGTAGCGCGGATCGCCAGTCTCGAGCTCCATGGTGACGCGGAACTTGTACCGCTGCGCAGTGATGTTATCCGCCGCGACAGGATCTTGGAGCCGCTCCATGATGTCCTTTTCGCCGAGCCACCAGCCCTTGATGTTACAGGTGATGACGGCCGGCTTATCGTCCTGCGTCTGGATCAGATACCGGGCCGAGATGTGAGTCGACATGTCTTTGACTGTCGTCTGCATGTCCTGGCCTCCGGGCTGCAAGAAAGACACGTGGGTTAGTCGAGGATGAGGTGCAGAGGGAAAGAGGAAGACTCACGAGGACGGTGCCCTTGCCCCAGCGGCCAGCCCACTGCCCGCCGATGCACGAGATCCAGCTCTGGAGGCCAAAGTTACCTGTGCCGACGTTGATCTTGGGCTTGACGCGGATGCTAAGCCGGAAGTCAAGGTCGAGGGTGGGCGAAGGGAGGGCCAGCGAGCTGGCGACATCGTCCTCGTCAAACTGGTGGCGGAGGTTGTTGGCGGGGATCTTCTCCTTGAGCACCGACTGGTAGCCGGGGCAGGACAGTAGGTGATCGCGCTGGCGCGACGTGTTCTTCGCGCGAACCTGGTTGCAGTAGATGCAGCGGGCCGACACGCACTTGTCGTCGTCCTTTACGCGGAACTCGACGAACGCGGCATGGACGTCGCGCAAAGGGATCTCTGGGAGGTTCGACGTGTTAGCCTTAGCGACCTTCTGGCGCTTCGCCGAGGGGGTTCCGTCGGCGGGTGTGGACAGCGAGTGGCGGAGAGGCTGGGTGTTGGGGGTGCCGTTGACGTTGACGTTGACGTTGACGCCGGGGACGCGGGTAGGGGTGGGAGCGGGGTAGCCGCTCAGGGCAGTGGTGGGATCGGCCGAGCCGTCGAGGCTGGGGCTGTCGGCATAGCCATCGGCGGCGGCGTCGGTGATGCCACCGATGCCGCCAGGGTGAGGGTGGGAGGGTCCGCCGATGACCACGTCGGGGTGGGCTTGGAGGTAGGTGGCGCACTGGGCCAGGTGCTGCTTCTGGCGCGTCGTGTTCTTCGCGCGCACCTGCTGACAGTAGATGCACTGCACCGACATGCACTTGTCGCTCTCTGGGGTGGAGCCGGGCCGACCGAGGAGCGCGAGGTTAGCACAGAGGCCATTGATCGATCGTAAGATAACGGTACAGTAGGCAGGTTACTGTCAATCCCGTGTACTCGCAGGTACGTGTACCGACCGGCGAGTATCCGTACAGCGACGCGGTAAGGGCGAATACAACGGAACGAACTTACCCTCTGCGCGAAATTCGACAAAGGCGGCGTGCACGTCCTGCTCAATGTGCCGCGCCATGGTTTTGGCGCGTTTAATTCTTCAGATGGGCCCCGTATATAATATTATAGACGAGTCGTGGCAGGCATTGGCGGGCAGCCAGACGGACGAGAGAGCGATTGTAATGACAGCTGATCCTGTGCTGTTGGCGGAGTCGCTGTGCAGGGTTAAGAGCGAGCACCAAGGTCGAGCGACCGACCCGGCCCGATGAAATTTTGGAATTACCGCGTATCCCAGACAGTCACGTGCCCGCCCTGCATCGAGATTACTGCCGTCAGCTGCGTTAGCTGAAAACGGAAAGCTTAGCGAGGTAGGGTTAGGGTTACTCCACCCACAAGTTCCGTCTGCTGCCACCGTCCGCCAGCTGTCATTTCCTGCCGGGCCGATAATTAGGTAGCTGTCCGTGTTGCTGTGTTCGGAATGAGAGTTATCCACAACAGCCGAATGTGGATCGGACGGTGTTGTTTTTGGACAACAGCAGCAGCTTGATTGCTTCGAATCTGGTCGAGGTACTCTTTTTGAACCGTTGGTGAATTATTGGGATTTAAATAGCCAAGGTACCCTGAGGAATCAGGTTGAGCAACGTTGTGGAACTGCCCAATGGCCCATGTTATTCTATTTTCTTGTTACCGCTCTGGTAGTCTAACTATGGTCTTTTTGTTTCTTGCTTTTTTTTATTTCTTCTTGTGTCTTACGTGTTCGGAGCATATCTGGCTCGAAGGCGTTGTAGGTGTGTATGGTCTATGGTTCGGCTCGAAGCTTCCTCGGTCCGGGAAAGAACGGAACAGCAGCCCATATGCTGAGAGGGAGGGAGAGCAGATCTAAGAGTAAGAGGGGCAAAGGCAGAGGAGGGCAAAAAAACAAAAGAAGTTCCAAAGTGCGCCAAGCTGGGTAGGTAATTAATTACGCGGAGCTCCCTGACATCGGATCACTGGCGTCTGATGTCACCGAGGGTCCGAGACTCCCTCTCTTGCCCACGGTGGAGTCGTACAGCAGCATGAGAGCAGCCGGTTCTCTCATTAGACAGCTACCAGACAGAGATAGAACACGGGATGAGCCCTTGCTGGTTGCCCAGTGCATCAGGGTACTTATACCCATTGCCCCGCCGCTGGTTGTCAGGTACGGATGCGACGGCTCCGTGGTGTAATGGTTAACTCGCCAGCATGCGGTGCATTTCCCGACAAGGGCGCTCAGGACCATGTGGCTCCTGGGTTGTGTAGTACCTGTGATGGACTTCCAAGTTCAAGTCTCGGCGGAGCCGTCAAGTCCCCTATTTTTCTGGCTTTTGTCTTTTTTTCCTTCTTGTTCCACTACCATGGAACCTCGAGCCCATTGACTGTTTGGGCCACCAGAAAGTCCTTGCTCTCTCTCCTGGGGCCACTTATCTTTTTCGTCTTGTCCATCACCACGCACACCTGTGGCTCCAGCATGGTATTGCTATCCACCACCTCCCTTCTAGCGACCATTGTTTTCTTTTCAACTTCGCATTCCTGCTCACTTTCTGGCTTGTATGTACACAAAATGCCACCAGGTTGTCTTTTCTCAAATCGGAGAAGCACTGTCGATTTATGTTAAACGACACCCATTCCGATTGAACAATACTGTATCTTATTCGAGTCCGCCGACCTTCCTCGTGATGCACGAAGAGCACATATAATTTCCTCAGCTGAATACCTGCCAGAGCAAGGAACAGGACTTTTCGTTTTTGGTCGCTATCATTAGAATAGGGAGAAGACGAGCTCGTCACTAGACAGCCCCTGACCCCTGAGCAACACACGGATCCTTTCGTTTTGACATTGTGACGAATGTAACGTTGTGACCAGAGCAAACGTGTCGGATGAAAGCCCTGCTTGCCATATTCTCGCTGGTACAAGGCGAATGATGTGTGTCAACTCATAATTCCCAAGTGCTGTACATTCTCCACATCGCCGCCACGATTCAACGTCGCTTGGCCCTCCCTCTCTTGGTCTGCAAACGCCCGATTCCAGAAACACGCGAGCGCGTGTTTACGGAGCCATTTTACCCGACATGATGGGAGCTTCAGCCTCACCTCCGTGGGATAATGAAACGATGGACCTTGTCCTCACTACCAGCACTTGAAAATTTGGCCCTCGGTTTGGTTGTTGTTTGTTTGATTAGATAGACGCCCTGGTTCTCTATCTTCGTGCCAGCCTGCGGGGGAAGGGGAGCCTGGGGAGTGGATCACAGGTGCACACTGCAATGGAATCGGTTTGGGAAAGTGTACTGGAGTTCACAAGAGTATCTGGGGGTAGGGGTCATTGAACTAGCTACTGAATCACGAAACTTGAACTGTGTATATGTTGAGCCTTGGAGAAGGGAGAAGGGGTCGAAGCTTCGTTCGAGGACGTGAGCAAAAAACCTGCACAGTCCCCGGCGCAGGCAAGAGTCAAGAACGTATTCCACGAGGTGGGGGAGGTTGAAGCCAGTAAACCTCGAGAAAGCCCTTGGTATGGTCCGATGACGCCCCTGCGACTCATGTAGCCAAGCGCCTGTCACGAACGCTGCCCACTGCGGCAAGGTAGCCACAGGTAGCCAAGCATTGGAATGTGCTGATGTCGATACCAAGTTGCCAAGATGCAGTACCGTCGATGGACACCAAGTCTCCCTAGTTTGGTAGCTATAGTGGATAGCGAACGGCCCGAGATGCTTGGCTGGCCTAAGGTGGAATTTTTGCCTGACCCGAGCTGAGAGAACGAGCTGTCCGGGCAATCATCAATGATTTAATGACGATAGGCGACGCATATGGTGCGAGGCATCTGCGCACCATATATGCACATCCAGAGTCCCAGTGTATCGAGGATAGTCGACAACAGCTGCATCAGCAGCAGTGAAGTTTGGGGGAGTCTGACTCATTCAGGGGTTGTAGAAACGTGCATGGGGCATTTCGGGTGATTTGGAACGAAGCTGCAAAATGTTTGGGGCGGTTCGCTACTCAACTAAGGTAACGACATGTTACGCAGCTCTATCCGTGACCCTAGGAGGCGATTCATCAGGGGTGAGAGGCGCATATGGCCGGCTTTGCATCGAGTCGAAGGAGCGGGGCAGGGGTCAGATAAAATATCGAGTTTTCGGTTGGCCGAGCTGCCGTTGTCGTTGCCGTTGTCACTGCCGTGCCGTTCCCACAAGGATTTAAAGACGTCCGAGGCCGGAGCAAACTCGGCAAGTAAGACGGGTTGTGCCGTCGTGTCGTTCAAACCTGGGAGGAAACCTTTCTCGCGCTCGCCTCGGGCTTTGCAACAAAGAAAGCTTCTTATTGGCCCGGCAGCTTGTTCTTGTCCTTGAAGCCTGATGCGCACACTTTATTGGACACAGCCTGCATGGGTTATTGACAATGGGCCGCTTTTGATGGGATACGATCCGAACATGGAGAGAAGCAACGGCTCGTGTCAGTTTGGGCTTGACAGGTGCAAGTGCCAGAACAGAGCTCGCCTCTACAGGTGGCGAGCCCTGAAGAGCGCCAAGAACACTTCGCTTACCCATTTCACAGATTCGAGTGTCCACAGCACCCTGACAGGCTAGCCGCTACGGGCATGCAATGACCTCATTTTCAGATCCAGCACTTCCTGGGCTTGGGCAGACCAACGCAAGCATCTTCCAGGCCCTTCCAGGTGCTCTGCGACTGTATTGCAGGACGGGCCGCGAATAAACGAATGCTCCACCGCGTCGCTTTCTCGAAAGGAATCTCCTGCTTGTCAACGAAGCACACTCCACACCGGTATCCTTTTGTCCTGTTTGCATCTTTCCTTTCCTGGGGACCTATGTGGGCCTATGTGCGCGCGTCTTTCTCGCTGGGGTTCACGATGCGCGATGCACCAAGCAAGAGACCTATCTAGGTAAATATTTTGGCCAATCGAAGGACACAAAATACTGACGGGAGGCTAACAACAACACTCGATAGGTAGCGAAGCAGACTCTGCAGCTGCGGCTTCTCTCCCGTGCACATACCGCCGCGCCGATGCAGACTAAGCTTAGCACAGCTGAGAAGTGAGCACTGCGTCACGGGCGGAGACAGAGGCGATGAAAGCCAAATATTTGGTCGAGCTCGCCTTTAACTCTGGACGCGACGCCGAGACGTGGGGCAAATCGTGGATTCTTTTGCCATTCGCCCAACGAAGCAATGCCAAAAAGGCCCTTGTCGAGTGGGTATGGTGTTCGCAAATACCATACTTTCTTCTCTTTTGTGGTACAATGGATAGATGCTCCATCCATACGCGAGAGCGCGAGATTGGTTGCTCGTTTCCACTGACTCGATCTCGCAACCATTCCTCCTGGGAACAATGCGTTTCACCTTTTCAGGGACTCCACCTTTCACCACCAAGTCTCGGAATGGTAAGGCTCCCGCCTGCTTCAGGGTCCCAGTCCCGGGTCCCAGGCTACGAGCCCTGCTGCTGCATCGCGGATGAAGATCGATGCAGGGAACCAACCCGCAACCTGGTCACAACCTCCAGTACCTGTCCACATTGCCGAACATTCCCGAGAGACGGCCGTTTCCAGCTTGTTTGTTGCCATGTATAAGACTCGACAGGGCCGCCGCCAAGCTGGATTGCCAGGCTTGGTTTGGATATCTAATTCTTCGACAACGACACAGGAGCCGGGCTGAAGCACGAGCCGGATTGCATTCCTTTCTTGACCACCTTCGCTTTCGCTACTTTTCCTTTTCCCTTGGGGAATCAGAAGCCGCTCCCTCCAAGCATTCTCGCTGGGGAGTAACAAACGACGCATCGTCTGCCTACTCACCCACATACCCGAATCAAGATGGCCGACGCAGGTCCTCGGCCCCTAGAGCCGGCTCACCGCTCCAGCTCAGTACGCTCCTCTCACCATGCCGCCGCTGTCGCAAGAACAGGCACGGCATCGACTGCCCATGAGCCCGTCGATGTCAACTTGCCCTACCGCACCCTCTCGGCCAACGCAAACATGGCCGAGTACGAGATCGAGACTAAGACGGGCGTGTTGCCGGCCGGGCCTCTAAACGGCACCGAGCGAAACTACAAGCTCGTCACTTTCGTGGAGGGCGACCCCGAGAACCCCAAGAACTGGTCCCGCGCCTACAAGTGGTACTGCACCATGGTGGTTGCCGTCACTTGCTTCGTTGTCGCTTTCTGCTCCAGTGTCATCACAGCCGATATCCCTGGCGTTGCCGAAGAGTTCAACGTCAGCGAGGAGGTTGCTTTGGTTTCTATCACAGTCTTTGTTGTTGGCTTCGGTATCGGTAAGCAACACTTGGAGCTCCCGCCAGGCTGAGGCAATGAAGGAGAACGGATAGGAAGCTAATGTCTTGCCACAGGGCCCATGATCTTTGCACCGCTTTCTGAAATCTACGGACGCCGCGTCATCTAGTATGTCTTTCCATCTGGTAACTAGGAAGAGGTCGTATGTGCTAACCAGCCTTCACAGTGGCTCGACCCTCTTTATTGCCGTCGTCTTCATCATCCCTTGCGCTGTGGCCAAGAATATCGGAACTCTGATCGCCTTCCGGACCCTTGACGGCATTGCCTTTTCCGCGCCCATGACGCTCGTTGGCGGCACGCTTGCCGACCTTTGGCGCACCGAGGAGAGAGGCGTGCCCATGGCTGCCTTCTCTGCCGCCCCTTTCATCGGCCCTGCGAGTATGTTTCCCCACTTTTCCGTGACACTGCGCTCCTCTAACCGCGAAACCCACAGTCGGCCCCCTTGTTGGCGGCTTCTTGGCTGACGCTTGCGGCTGGCGCTGGCTATACTGGATCCAACTCATAGCGGCTTTTGTCGTTTGGGTTCTGATCACCTTCACCGTTCCCGAGACATACACACCTACTATTCTTGACAGACGTGCCAAGAAAATGCGCAGGGAGACGGGCGATGCCGACTATGTTACCGAGCAGGATCTCGACCTGCGGCCATTCTTTGAGCGCCTGGGAATCTTCTTGATCCGTCCGTTCCAGCTCCTCTTCCGAGAGCTCATTGTCCTTCTCATCAGCCTCTACATGTCGGTTCTCTATGGACTGCTCTACATGTTCTTTGTCGCCTACCCTATCGTCTTCCAAAAGGGCAAAGGCTACTCGGCCGGCATTACTGGCTTGATGTTCATTCCCATCGCGGTTGGCGTCGTTTGCGCCGCCTTCTGCGCGCCGTGGGTCAACAAGCACTACCTCGAGACCGCTAAGAAGTACAACGGCAAACCGCCCGCCGAGATCCGTTTGATCCCCATGATGTTGAGCTGCTGGTTCATTCCCCTTGGTCTCTTCATCTTTGCCTGGACAT